CCTTAGGGGCCCACGGGGGCCCCCAAGAGGGCCCCCAGGGGGCCCCCAGGGGGCCCCTAGGGCCTCTAAGCAGAAACTTAGTGAGCTGCACACTGTCCTGCTTTATGTACTCGGCTGCAGCAGTGAAACAAAATGCGCAGCAGCAGCTAAACTAGCAGCAGCAGCAGCAGCAGCAGCTCTGCCAGCAGCGACAGGCAAGCAAGCAAAAAAAAACTGCAGCAGCGAAAGACGAGGCAGCGGCGCGCAGATAACGCAGCGACACAAACCCCAGAGGCTAGGAGGCAGCAGCAGCGTGCAGCCTGCAGCAACTTCAGCAGCAGCAGCAGCAGCAGCAGTAGCAGCAGCAGCAAGAGCAGCTGCTGCAGCAGCCGCACGCTGTAGAGGCCCCAACAGCAGCATGAGCAGGCACACTTTGCTCCAGTTGCAGGACGAGACGCAACTGCAGCAGCAGCAACCTGGAGTAGCTGCTGCAGTGGCATCACGAGCCACAGCTGCTACAGCAACAGCAGCAACACCAGCAGCAGCAGCTCCAGCAGCCCCAAGAGCGTCAGCAGCCTGCAAGAGTTTCTTAAATTTTTACTTAAAAGCGTTGTAAAGTGGCAGCAAAGTCTTGTAGCCACGCATGTGCTGCTGCTGCTGCTGCTGCTTGCTGCTGCTGGCCAGCAAGCCCCAGCCCGACGGCCGCAGCAGCTTCGGAGCCCCGTCGAAGTTGCTGCTGCATTTCCCCTTTTTTTGTCTTTTTTCTTTCTTTATTTTAGGGGGGAGCCGCTGGCTGCGCGTCTAAGAGAGCAGCTGCTGCTGCTGCTGCTGCTGCTGCCTGCGCCGCTCTCCCCGGTGCGCAGGAGCCCCACCCCCCTACTCTTTGCTGCCTTCCGCTGCCTTGGCTTTGGCTAGCTGGCTAGCTGGCTAGCTATTTGCCTAGCTAGCCACTCAATAGTGAGGATGTGGGGCCCGCTGGGGGTGGCCTGCAGCCTCGCGTGGGCGTTTGGCGTTGCTGCTGCGGACGCCGAGCCCCCGCAGCAGCAGCAGCTGCAGCAGCAGCAGCTGCAGCAGCAGCAGCACGGCCAGGGAAACCTGGGCGAGTGGAACACAGACGAAGAAGGGGGGGGGCCCCTAGAGGGCCCCTCCTATTCCTTCCCAGTGGACCCAGAGGATCCTTTGCCTTATCCTCGGGGGGGCCCCTTAGCAGCAGGTTTGTCTCAGCTGCAGCAGCAGCAGCAGCAGCTGCGGGGCGCAAAGACAGCAGCATTTGGCCTTCTCGCGCTGCTGGCAGCGCTCGCCGTGGGCTGCCTCCGCAGCAGCAAAGGGGAAGCAGCGCAGCAGCAGCAGCAGCAGGAGCCGGGCGCTGCGGCGCCTCCGGAGCCGCAGCCCGCCCTTCTACCG